TTCAATCAATACTTAATGATGAAATTTCATAGGTAAAAAGTTATTTCTCTCCCAGAATATAAAATTTAGTGAAGGTTATGACTGTGAGAAAAACAAGATTCAAAATGATACAACTAATAAAAAAGGTGAGTAAACTAAATTTATGTTTATTTTCAATTTTGAAATATTATACTAATTTTTTCTTTTCTTTTCTTTTCTTCTCTTTTTATTTTGTCTACAGATAGGGGGAATGATATGAATGAAAAAGGTGGGTGAACTAAATTTGTATTTATATATATTTTTATATTTCTTATATAGTTGAATATTTCTTAATTATTTTTATTTATTTAATTTTGTTTACAGATAAGGCTTTGGAAAATAATCTAATCAGTGAAGGGATTTTTTATGTAGACGCAGATGAAGAAGAAGAAGCACGACGGCTATATGAAAATTAACTTATTTATATGGAAGGCGGGGTTGAAAATTATAAACAAATCTTACCTTTAAATATAGACCAAGAAGATGAAAACCCCCTCCCCCCTCCATTTGTTGATGTTGATGATACATACCAAAACGATAATGATGTAATTTTAATGGAGGGAGGATTAACTAATTACACCCAAATTGTGAAATCTAATATATTAGATCCAAAAGAAGAATTTTTTACCAATAATGAAATGAATCAAGTTGTTTAAAAATTTTTTTTTTTTAATTTTTATTGTTTCTTTATTTAAAAAATTAAAATAAAAAAATTTTTTCTAAAATTGTTATTATTACTAACTTTTTAAATTGATTAAGAAAATAAACATTTGTTCTTAAAAATATAATGAATATAAATAAAACTAATCATTTTTATTGTTCAAAAAGTAATATTGTTTAAAAAATATACAATTGTTCTTAAAAAATATAATGTTATAAATATAACTAAATAAAACGAATCATTTTTATTATTCAAAAAATTAATATTGTTAAAAAAATACACATTTGTTCTTTGAATTAAGTTTTTACATGTTGTCTTAAATAAAATTGTGCTTGTTTATTATACTATATTATCTAAATACTTTTTATTTAAAATTATCAGATTTTCTTATTATAAATAGGTCTTGTTCTAATTCTTTAACTTCTAATTTAAATTGCTCTTCTTCTCTTTTTTGTAAATATTCTTCCAATTTTTTTTTGTTCTAAATTACTCCTATTTGTACAACTTTCGATTTTTTTTATTTTCTCATTCCATTCGAAAATACTTACATCTAACTCAGCTATTTTACATTCTAAATCTTTTTCTTCTATTTTATAATGTCCATATGCCATAGTACCCATTTTATTAGAATCTATAATTCTTTTATCATCTTTACTATTAAGTATAATTTTATTACACCTAATAGTAGATACTACATGACTTGATGATCGTATCATTGCCATTGACCCTATCACAGACTCCTCAGAAAGCAAACACTTTTTATAATCATGAAAGTCTATTTTCTCTATCGCGCTTCGTTTGACACCTTTTGATTTTTTTATTGTTTTTTCAGCGCTACCATCACCATCAGAAAATGTATATGAATACATTTTTGAGCGTAAACCAACAAACTCGAGCATGGGTTTCCCATTGAGTTCATCTTTGAAAAACCCTAACTTTTTATACCCTTGCAGGGTATTATAATTTCAGTCAGAAGTTTGCAACGCAGTGAAGGAGGCATTTCCGACCCTATAAAGTATATATATTCTTGATCAGCATCAACAGCCGAGTCGATATAGCCATGTCCGTCTGTCCGTCTGTCCGTCTGTCCGTCTGTCCGTCTGTCCGTCTGTCCGTCTGTCCATCTGTCCGTCTGTCCATCTGTCCGTCTGTCCGTCTGTCTGTTTCTACGCAAACTAGTCCCTCAGTTTTAAAGCTATCTGAATGAAACTTTGCATATAGTCTTCTATATACTCTCACTGCTATATATGTCGGAACGGGCCGGATCGGACGACTATATCATATAGCTGTCATACAAATGTTCGATAAATTTTTAGAAAAAAATTATAACTTTGCTGTTTTTCAACATTTTTGCACCATTTTTTAGATATGGCCATTTTATATTATTTCAGAATTTTGGTAAAAATTTTATGAAAATCGGACGACTATATGATATAGCTGCCATAGGAACGATCGGGAAATTAATAGGAAAAAAATTATAGCTTCGTTGTTTTTCAACGTATTTTTATCTACTCTGAGATATAAGTTTTTTTTTATTATTTTAGAATTTTGGTATAAATTTCATAAAAATCGGGCAACTATATCATATAGCTGCCATATAAACCGATCGGTAGATGTAGAGAAAATGTAAAACTGGGAATGTAAAACTGTAACTGTCAAACTGTAAACATAATAAGTATAGGTAAAATGTAATGAAACTCTGTTTTGTGAGTGTTTTCAGCATTTAAATCTATAATATAAACATCGAAACCAATCTGCAAGGGTATACAAACTTCGGCGTGCCGAAGTTAGCTTCCTTTCTTGTTTTTATTGGTTTTAGGAAAATTATACGTTTCTGCAATTTTATCTGGAAGTTCAGATGTATCAAAATATGATTCTATATCATTTTTAATATCATTATAGAAGTCATCAGTTTTGATGGTATATATAAATGAATCTGTATCCATGTAATTCAATTGTATGTTTTCATTAAATTTTGGTTTCATATAAACTTATATATATATCAATATATTTCTTCAACCAAGGTTTTTGGAAGAAGCGAAGACCTTTATGAATTTTTTTCAATTGTAACCCACATTCTAAGCACTGTTTCAAATTTCTATAGTGGATTATATATTTATTTTTATCTTTTAGATCTGCAATTAATATTTTAACTTTAGATGATGGTGTTGGTAGCTGATTACTACAACAAAATGGTAAGTCATTATGAGTCTCATGCAAGCTAAACGGATAATCTAAATCTACCTCGAAAATGTAGCCATATTCAGAATCATCTGGGTGCTCTAATATATTTATATTATCAAGGGTTTCCCTTGATACCCATTCAAATCCTCCATATGGCAAAGGTTGGGACATGGCCCATCCATACAAATTGTTGGCATCAATATATGATAAATATTGGGATTCTTTTTTATCGTCATAAGAATCCAAATATTTATGATTAGCTTTCGAATATCGATTTACGCATTGCGCGAGACCACCACGAATGCCCGATTGTAGAAATTTTAATTGATCTATATCTGTTAACAGTTCTAGCTCAATTTCGGTATATTTTAACATGGCCTCCCATGATAAACCAGGTAAGGTGTAAAAATGCGCAGGGTCTAATGAGTGAATTTTCATGCAGATATTTCGAAAGTTTTCAAAAACATCTGTCATTAACAAGACATCTGTTTTCAAATACAATTCCAAATAATCTTTTAAATTTTGACATGAAAATTTATTCCAAACCCTCTGTGCATGAGTGTAATTTTCTTCCGAACAATTAGTTTCTGTTAGGGAGCTATAGAATGCTTCTCGGGGAGGTAAAGAAGTTTCTGATAGCCTCTCAACTGAATCTAAATATTCATAAGGAAATACACCCTTACGCCTCATCAAAGAAAATTCTTCCTGATTTTTAAAGAAGGTTTTTGTTGTTACTAATTGGTCATCATCTAGGTTTAATGCAAGTGTGTCTAAAGCGGACGACATGAAGCGGAAAGAATCAAGGAAGCGAATCTGAAAACTTCCCCCCTCATCAGTAGTTATAGTTTTTGAGAGGGAAATGTAGTGCTCCTTATTTGATGGAATAACACTCATTTCTCCAGGAATGAGAGCCAATTCTTTCACGAATAAATGACAATCATACCTGGAGAAATTATGGAAAAAAAACTGGGATGAAATCTGGGACTTGATATTTTAAATTACATGCATTATGTGCAGCACCTCTGAATTTACCAGTAAAATGGCAATGATCCCTTACCCTATCTAATAAAAGGGGACTATGGCAGATATGACATTTCTCAGTTTTTTGGAATTCTTCTTCCTCATCCATAGACATTTGGATGGGAACTTCTTTTGAAATATAATTTGAATAAATACATTTTAAATTTGCAATAAGTGAATTCAGAAAATTTTGCCCTAAGGTCGTTTCAATTTCAAACTTACTTAGACTATCATCATACGCACACTTTATATAGTATGCATATGCTATAGGCACATGTGTATTTATTTTAAATAGTTTTTCACTAATAGCCTTCTCATCAGGCTGCAGTATAGCTTCAAAGTCAGCATATACTGAAAATGGCACCTTAACCTCCTTATGGATATTTGTGTAGCGGAGGGTGGCGTTCTGAGGATGGGGCAGTCTGGAAACTATTTTGCTACACACTTCAGAATGACGTTTTGCGGCTTTCTTAGTTAAGGAATAGTTCAGGCATCTATTACAGAACCATTGCTTTCTTTCGCCTTTTCCCGTCTGAGATGCAACCAAACTAAAACAATTAATAATAAAAAAGAAGCTATTAGCTAAAATCCCCTAAGGGACGGAATAAAAAATAATAAAATTATAAAAATAAAACAAAAAAAAAAATAATAAAATAGGAAAATAATAAAAATAATAAATAAGACTCACCCTGAAAGATTTGTGATCCATGTGTAGTGCGCTTTATTTCCTTCCTCCAAAAGCAGCATATTTATGTGGCGGGGTTTCACCTCAGGTGGGTAAAAAATGGGGCCATAAATTAGTCCATCATCATATCCAAAAACAGATACGCTCAGCTCCAGGTTTTTTTTCATAAAATCCGTGATATGTCGGGGGTTGAGAGGGAACTCCAATCCACTGAAATCCAATTGGTACCCGTTTTGGAGGGTGATAACATCATCTTCAATGTTAACCCTATACCCGCTGCATCTACTCCGCTTGGTTCGTTTGTTCATGATTGCCGCAATTATCGTCCACTTGAAACAAAACTCATTGTTCAAGTTTTTTACATTTACAATGGACTTTTTCGAATGTAGTGCCTTAGGTAGCTGGATAAATGACGATTTTTTGGTTTGATTCTTATTGGTTCACGTTCATCTCAAGCCGAGCGATGTGGACCAATGTCCATCCACTATCCCTCTCTTCGAACTCATCCATTTTTCCAATTATTCTCTCCATGTGGTCTTCATATTCATTGTTAATGTCTGAGTGCATGGAGAGAATTGTCATTTTCGATTGAAATGACTTCATCTCGATACACTCCTCTTCATCTTTTAATAGCTTATACAAACCGAAAAGTTCAAAATTAACCTTTACGGATGCATAGCTTTCCAAAATTGTTGCTAAATGAGGCAGAAATGCGTCTCCTGCCTCTCGTAGAAATGATGCCGGGAATATCACTCCTTCCTGCGTATTCTCGAACAGGTAGTGAAGGATCATCCCTCGAAATCCATCTGCTACTTTTTTGACCCGGGAATCTACGGGTTCAATAGCATTCATTTTATGCTTCTCCGTTCGCACATGCCGATTCCACTCAGCAGGGGAATTTGTGGGCATATTGCACTTTTCACAGAATCGATACATTTTTGTCGTTGTTTTTTTTTTTTTATGTTTTTAATTCACTTGATCGATTTTTTTTTTCATCTTTTTTTTTTTGAATTGCACAGCACAACACTATTTACAAGCAGTTTAAATAATTTATTTAATTTTCCTTTTGTTTGTTTTTATTATTTTAATTTTTGATTTGGTCAATAGCACAACACAGCACTATTTACAAACAGTTTAAATAATTTTTTTTAATTTTCCTTTTGGTTGTTTGTTTTTTAATTAAATTAAAAAAAATAAAATAAAATTATTCAGTTCACTTTCACTTTGCTTTTTTCAGTTCTCTTTTTTTCAGTTTCTTTTTTTTTTTTTTTTTTGTATATATTTTTTAAACACTTGGTCGAGTTTTCACTTTACAAAAAATTTATTATTGGAGACCGATAGAAATTTTCGATACGAAGAAAAATATCTTAACGCGAGCGAATGCTTTTTTAAACTAAAACCATTTCCCGAAATGCACTTTCCAAGATGACTTTTTGGTGGTTTAGAAAGTACCCCATTTCCTTATTTCTATGAATGTGCGTGAGAAAGTCTTAAGGGGGTATGTTTAAATTCTTATGTGTTCTTCAAATTTATCTTTTTGTTCACATCCCTTTTCTATTAGAAAGGTTAGCTCCCCGAAATTATGTTAATTTAAGGTAACATCCACATATGTTACACATAGGATGGTGGGGTTGAAACACTTAAGATCGTCCACCCTTACACACAACTCTTTGTTACAAAAGGTGTGGGAAAGTCTTAAGGATATTTAGGATACATTTTTTGTTTCTTAGAAAATGTGTCTTTTAGTTCACATGCTTTCTCTATTAATTCAAACATCTGCGATCATCCACCCTCAGATGCACACAACTCTTTCTTTCATGCGGTGTGGGAAAGTCTTAAAGATATTTTTGGATATATTCAAATTTCTTCGATTCCTTTCACATGCTTTCTTTATTAATTTAAACATTTACGATCGCCCACCCTTTCCCACGGAATACCTTCTCACTATTAAGGGGGTGATATTCATATACACACATCTATAACCTTCTATATCATCATCTACTCTCCACTTATGTCATTCATATACTCATCCTATATGTACATAACTAGAAAATACCTTCAAATTATACAACAAAATATATCATAACATGTTTAGTCAAGTTAATTGAATCTACTTTCCACCAATTAAAACACACAAGCAGGCCTGGGTAGACACGAGCCACACACACGATCTTACAAATTCATAGATCAACAGGTCTCACAACAACCCTCGCTGTTCATACCTAGATTTCTTGGCACAAGCTACACACAAGCATGAGAACATTTCCCATCAACCACCACCACCACACGAGTCGGCCAGGTACAAACCGTTCAGGCACAAGCCACACGATCTTACAAATTCATAGATCAACAGGTAAGCAAGTCTCACAACAACCTCACAACAACCCTCGCTGTTCATACCTAGAAATTTCATGGCACAAGCATGAGAACTCACCCCATCTACCACCATACGATCTCACAAATTCTCACGCATGACAACAGAAACAAAATCGTTACAAGGTATTACACGTTTAGACAAGTTAAATAACTGGGGTGACTTACACACCTGCTATCCTAATTGAATCACATTAACACAAGCCGGATACGCACAATAACTAACCCTAATAAATTTCTACGCATTATGCCTCATCCCTCCCTCCTTCACAAATTCTCACAAATTCCTTATGTCTCATCCCTCTCTCCTTCACAAAATCCCACAAATTCCCATGCTTGAACACACACACCTTAACCCTTTAACCCCTCCCAATCAGTTTCTCGCGCTTAACAACACACAAAACTGCACATGATCATGCATGCATAAAATAATGAGGGGGAGGATCTTACCCTAAACCCCTTCCCCCTAATAATTAACTGATTTTTTATGCTAATTAGGACACCTGCACCCCCCTCGTGCGCAGTCATGCGTGACTAATGACCCCCCCGCACCCCTCGTGCGCAGTCATGCGTGACTAATGACCCCCCACCCCCTGCGTAACTGGCCCAGAATCAGCATTCTCTTTCTACTCAGGTATATTGTTTACAACCGTCCCCGTATCGATAGTTTATTAGAAAGTAGGATGGTAAAGATCTTCAGGTAGCGTTAATTGATACATTTTTATTACTGTTTAGACCTACCGAATCGGAATATTAAGCAAGCCATCAAGGTATAAAGGATTTATTTACCCTCAAGTCTTCCGGGTAGTGGTTACTACGGGAAACTATATAGAATATATATAGCGGACGAGAACGAATGATCCGGTCCAGACAAAAAGTGACTTTTGGTGCCGACTACTGGATGCGTGGTTAGGAAGGCTTACCTCTCCCAATCGCCGTTGAACGCTAAGTGATGCCTTAATTTGGTTTCCGTAACTTCCGTAAGTGATTTCAATTGACATTTATAAACTTATAAGTTTATGGCTGCACTCCATCTGAGCGCACAGCAAAGAGTTGCAAGCATGAGTTTGTTCCATTGTTCTATTGATTTTTGGCATACGTTCCAAACCAGGGAAATTATCTTTTTGTATTTAATTGTTCGCAAGCATCAGTTTTTTTATAAAAATAATTTCTTCTCACATTTGGTTTCTGATGGAAACTTTCATGTTGTTCCGCTTATTAAAGGGAACATTTGCGAAACAAAAATTCAAAGCAAAACTGAAGAACACTTACGGGCTGTGTCTAAATTCCTGGAAGAATCCAAAAAGAATTTTTACACCTACCAACTAAAAAGCAGCAAGGGACTGCAAGTCGTGTTAAAAGGAATTGAACCAGACGTCGCCCCCTGTGAGATAGTGGAAGCCCTGAAAGGCAAGGGTTTCTTTGCCAAGAATGTCAGCAACATTATAAATAAAAAGAAAAAGACGCAACCACTTTTCAAAGTCGAACTGGAGTCAGAAAGTAAAACCCTGAAGAAAAATGAAGTTCACCCGATCTATAAGTTGCAGTTCCTATTGCATCGAAGAATCACCGTGGAAGAACCGCACAAACGCAACGGTCCTGTGCAATGCACAAATTGCCAGGAGTATGGACATACAAGGACATACTGCACCCTTCGGTCAGTCTGCGTAGTCTGTGGAGACTTCCACAATTCCGCACACTGCCCTGCGAACAAAGAAGACCCAAACAATAAAAAATGCGGAAACTGTGGAGAAAATCACACAGCTAACTACAGAGGCTGCGTGGTCTACAAGGAGCTGAAGAGTCGCATGCGACGAACAACAGCTTCACGCCAACAAAATACACAAAATGTGTATTATAATTCAAAAACTACTCCAGAAGTATTTTTTGCCAAAGCAGCCAGATCCTCTTTTGGTCCGCTAAGTGCCCCCACGGGCATCTCCTACGCTGAAGCTCTACGAACAGGTATGCAAAATCCTCCCCCTCAAACTCGGTAAACGCTCAGCAGGCCCCAGGGCAGTCACAAAACAATCTGGAATCCATGATGGTGACCATGCAACAAAGTATGATGGAACTCATGTCATTTATGAAAACGACCATGCAAACACTTGTCCAGAATCAAAATATGGTGATACAGTTGCTTGTAGCACAACAGTCGAAATAATCAATGTCTAATCTACGTATATCCACGTGGAATGCCAACGGCGTCTCACGGCATAAACTTGAACTAACACAATTTCTAAACGAAAACCACATCGACGCCATGCTACTGGTTGAAAGGCACCTCACAAGCAGATACAACTTTCATATAAGAGGCTATACCTTCCACCACCGCACAGATCATCCAGATGGTAAGGCCCACGGCGGGACCGGCATCCTTATCAGAGAACGTATCAAACACCATTTTCACCAAGGGTTTGGAACAAATTTCTTGCAAGTTACGTCCATAAAAGTGCAGTCAGATAACGGCAACCTTTGCACTGGGGCTCCATGGTATATTCGCAATGAAAACATCCACAGGGATCTCGGCATTCCTGCAGTTAAGAACGAAATAGAAAAACAAAAAGCGTCCTACAAGGAAAAACTCTGTGTCCATCCCAATCCTCAAGCAAGGGACTTGATACGAATTTCCAGAAGCCGTCTACTACGCAACGACCTTCCAACCCAGCCATAATTAGTCAGCGCCATTGTACATTGTACAGAGTACTGTACCAGTCTACATGACTGCTAGTTAGGTAGTATTGTAAGATTTGATACACTTATTTTTAGTCTCATAAATGAGAAGATTCAATAAATAAAAGCCAAGCATAAAAAAAAAAAGCATATGACAAAATAAAACGTACAGAAAACGTTTACAATAACAAGCTACAGACTAATATATAAAACTAAATCGATTTTTATACTCACAAAAGTATTCGTTTCTGAGATTTTTTTTTTTATTTTTTCGTTTTTTCATGGGTTAGTGCAATTTTTTTTAGGATTCTGGTTGGGATTACATTTACATGGAAAAACACATCATTTAAGCGTCATTGTGGGTCATAATCAATTACAAAATGCCGAAAAGTACGGAGTCAAAACATTTTCCAGACGACAATTACTATGTTTTATAATAGTCCTCTTACCATAATAAGCGTTTTTTTTCTACTGAAATCAAGAAATTTCCTGGAAAATAACCCGCATTTTGGCCGAATATAGTAACCGACAATCAGAGAAGATAGGACAATTATTTAAAAAAACAGGAAACAGTTTCGATTTTAGTTTTATGACAATCGGACGACAAGATCTTTTAGCTGCTATAGGAATGATCAGGAAATTAATAGGAAAAAAATTAAAACATCGTTGTTTTTTAGCGTATTTTCATGTACTCTTAAATTTCAGAATTTCGTTTTTAATTTTATAAAAATCGGACGACTATATGTTATAGCTACCATAGAAGCAATAGGTAGATGTAGAGTAAATGTAAAGCTGGGAATGTAAAACTGTAACTGTCAAACTGTAAACATAATAAGTATAGGTAAAATGTTATGAAACTCAGTCTTGTGTGTGTTTTCGGCATTTTATTTACGCTATGTATAAACATACAACTTGTATATATTTTCTTATATATTTTTTTAAATTATTTAACCATCCAATTTAATGATCCAATTGCAATCTGCAAGGGTATACAAACTTCGGCGTGCCGAAGTCAGCTTCCTTTCTTGTTGTAATAAGGAATGGTTTAAAAAATTAAATTGAAAAATTTTTATCAAAACGCTCGTTTTTGACTGAAGAGAAAGAATATATAAGTAATGGATAGCTCAATATTTAAAGAAACCTTTTCAGAAATATGTGAAGAGATGGTAATCTTACCAAAGGAGCCAGACATTTTGTGATATCCCTTGCCTCAGCCAATGACTCTAGTACAAGTTCAACAATTCTGCGATAAGAGTGCTCAAATATTGATTGAATTTTCTCAAGAACGAAGCCAATTGTCTTTATTCGCCTATCCCCAAGCTGATCAGCCAAACTCTCGAGATTCTCAAGCCGTGACTCCCAAAAAATGAAAATTTCTTCTGGTAGAGGGTAATTTTCCTTTGAATATATCTTCTCTCTTGCCTTTATATTCACAAGATCTTCAACAGAATCAAGCCACTTTACCACCATGAACTCAAGGGAGTGCTTCATTAAAGGGTTAACTACAGAAATATCACTGCAAAAATAAACATATTAACTAATTTCGTAAAGACAAATAAATACAATTTCTGGTACTAACCCTGTGGCAATGGCTGGCGCAACTTGCATAACTTCATCCATACAAATTGGGAGAGGAAAAATCGTCCGATTGATAACAAGTCCTTTCATTTGAGCAATGCCATTGCGCATTTCCTGAGACTCAGTCTTCATATCGTTCGCAATCACGCTAGTCCATCCGGTTTGATTGACTTTATTGTTAAGAAGCGGAAAGAAAACTTCATCACAGAGCACAGACAAATTAGCCAAAGGGTTTGGAAGTAGGTCCCCAATCATAAGGGACTACAAAAATTCAACGTTGAAAGATCAAAGGATAAAAAAAACATTCAACATGCAAAAACTTACTTCAAGCATATTTTCCTCCGTCAAGTTTAGTGGAGTAAAACTACGTATGAAATAGGCCACTTTTGTTCGTGGCTTGACAGGAAAATTAAAGGAAGGATATAGCTGACCACCGGCATTTATTGTAAATATTATTCTCTTTTTATAAGGATTACTCAAAAACTCCATAATAAGATCCTGATTTACAGAAGTAGAAAAATAATTATTTTAAAAATGCAAAGTATCATAATACATATACATAATAAAAATTAAGTTGAAACAAGCATGGAAGCCAACTTAAGGCCACGCGCACACTGGCAGCGGAAAGCGGAGCTGACGGCTTATCCGCTCTCTGAAACAAACACACTACTTGTATGAAAGCGCGCACACTGAAAGCGGAGCTGAGCTTAGAAATTTGCACTGAAAATATCAGCTCCGCTCTCAGCTCCGCTTTCCGCCGCCAGTGAGCGCGCGGCCTAAGAACTGTAAAATGTATATAGCCTTGCAGTTTTTTGTTAGATCATTAAGGGGGTTGACCCATGTGACGGTTTCAAAAAGCCGTTACAAAGTTACTGAAAAGAAATGCTCTACAGAGCTGCTTACTCCTGATTATTTCTTTTCGTTTTTCTTTAAACCACGTTTTTTCAACTGGTCAATACGATTTCACGAAAAGTTTAGTTGTATAGTAAAAGTATAAGAATAATATATTCCTAAAATTTATAGAATGTGTTCAGCATAAATGCGGAAATTGCATGAACTAGGATCTTAAATTTTACAATACTTTAACATAAAATAAATTTTAAAAATTCGTAATACTTTAATGAATGAACGCCACTTCAGTCAATCCCCTTAACAATCCATCTAAAACTATATAAGGGATATATAATTGATTTATATTTATACATGCATATTATTATTTAAAAAGTATAAAGAACAATATTATATTTTGTAAATATTCAATATAATTAGAATTATAAATATACATATATGCTGAAAATTAAAGTAATATCAACTTTCAATATATTTACAGATACAAATTCTGTCATTGACCTTCCATTCAATTTATTCTTAAAAAACACCCAACCGCTTCTTATTACACTGCTTAAAATTATACTGTTCAATTCGTTTCAAATGTCATCATTTCTTATGTCAACATATAAATTTTTACTTTCAGTAAATAAATGCATCAGTGTCTACATAATTAAGTTTCAGTGCATCCCTAAAGTTTGGCTTCATATACAAATAATGAAATTCATACATTATCCATTTTGATAATTCTAAAACTACAAAACCTGAGTATAGCGTTTTATCACAAACATTATGTAATTTCTTTAATTGAATTCTAAGTTTGTCTGTAAACTATAAAAACGATCCAACGCAGAGAAATGTAGTTTTTTTAAGAACAGCCTGATTTACTTACGGCATGTTATCACTGAGAAAGGAATTTATACTGATCCTTAATAGATTTCACCCATGCGTCAACTGAGTCCGCCCATTACATGCAAGGAGTTACGAAGGTGTCTTGGTATCGCCTCATGGTACACGAGATTTGACCCAATCTTTACAAACATACTGCAACCCATGTCCCAAGGGAAGAAGTAACAATGGCAACAAGAGCAAGAGGATGCTTTTGAAGAACTAAAGAGGATTTTAGCGAGAACTTTGTCCTTCAAACGGACGCCAGCGACATAGGGCTAGGAACCGTTTTAACTCAAAGGATCTAGGGAGAGGAACGAGTAATTGCCTTCTTTAGCAAACGTCTCATAGCCGCTAAGGCGTATTACTCCGCCACAGAAAAGTGTCTGGCCATCATATTGGCCATCAGGAAACTTAAATGTTACTTGGAATGGTATCGATTCGAGGTGATAACGGACCACCTCGCCTTGAAGTGGCTAACTCAATCAACCCCACTGGCCGGATCGCACGCTGGGAATTAGAACTACAGCAGTACTAGCTCGACGTGTATGTGTACGAAAACCAGCAGTTATTTCGACATATTGGATCAAGACCCGACGATTAGGACTTCGTGCCATGAAAACTGTGTGTGGCCAAGGAACACTGACAGCGAGTGCTGTCGTGCACCACGATCGCCCAGCGGTATTACTGGCCGGGACTTTTTCGTGATGTGGGCAGTAACGTTCGTAAGTGTATGTTTGCCAACGGTTCAAAGTAAACCAAAACAAACCAGAGGGTAAGATGTTTACCAAGCAGATCAGTGAACCCTTTGACTCTGTCTGCGCCGATTTTATTGAAGCCTTTCGCGGTCTTAGAAAAGAAATACAATGCTTTTGATATTTTTCGATGCCTTTTCGTAATGGGTTGAGTTGGTCCCCTTAAGAAAAGCTACATCAGACAGCTAGATAAATACTTTCGGGAGACAATTCTAAATGACTAAGATACTCCACGCACCTTCGTTTGCTATGCTAATGCATATATTATATATATCGAATCTCAAAAAAGGCGATATCGATCGGCCACCCAGATCTTCATATTTAAGCCTCCGGACTTCTTTTTGTGGAGATATTTAAAGAGCAAAATCATCGCTAAGCCACCTGAAATGCTAGAAAAGGAGATGGACATGCAGCAAAAAGGGAACATTTTGCTATGCCCAATAAAGGCGGACACTTGATTGATGTTGTTTTCAAAAATTACTCTCATACTTGAAAATAGGTTGTTTATTGTCAAAGATATTGAATGTTAACATACCGACATAAAATATGGCGCACCTTGCATAAACAACAACAAAAAAATAAGTTATGAGTTCAAGTACCCAAACCAAGGTTCTGAAATCCGAGCCAGTCTGTATACTTTGGTCGGCCAACGGAAAGTGCAGCGGCATAATTGTCATATACGGGGACCTGACATGATATGAACTCAAATGTATGTGCATATTCCCGTTGTAGGCAGCGCTGTTACGAGACGTAGCCTTTTTTAGTTCATAAGAATTATTTGTAAAATCAGACACTCATAAGAGCTGAGAGCGCCACACTTGCGCCCCTACAAAAATCAATGACCTAATATGAATAAAACTCAACAATTCAAATCAAAATCATATATTGATTTACTGGGAGGACCATTCATCATCTAAACGAGAGGAAATACAGTTCACCAGTATACGGCATCCTATACACCACAGCAGAACCCGACGGAGAGGGCAGACGAAATGGAACTGGTACCTGAGCTGAACCTAGCTTTAAGTATCAGCGCAACGGACTTCACCGGATATAATCCGGCCTTTGTTATTTAATGTAGAGAGACAGGGGCCCTGTATGATGTGGTCACTAAGGGACTAAGCGGTGCTCCCCGCTCACCCGAAAACGGAAATGCTTCGAGACGTGTTCAACGTGGCCTCTAAACATGAGGGACCATACAAGGTTGTTAAGGTTATTTCGCCTACAAAAGTTCGTCCACAGCATATCCAGAATAACTAGCGCCGAACAGTACCCTCAATTTAAGGCCTTCTGCAAACAGGCGGGAATAGAGATCCAGTATACGGCACCCTATACATAGGAGCAGAACCCGACGGAGAGGGCCAGTCGCACCATTTAAACTATGGTCGCCCAATACATCATAAATAAGCAGACGACATGGAGCGAGTTGTTACCTGAGCTTAACCTGGCTTTAAATACGATAAACTCCACAGCAGCGGGAAGCCCGCACAACGGCGCACAGTAGCGGCTTTTCTCGTGTTGCGTTGCTAAATTAACTTCTGAACCAAATAAGATCGAATAATTTAATCGGCTTCTGTCAGAGAATTGCTGTAAGACTATGTACTGCAATTTTTTTTGCTATGCCCACTGATTCGGCTTTTTATAGGCAACTAAAGTGAAAAAATAAATTGTTTCCTAAGAAAGCGAATTAAAATAAAAATAATTTTGAAACTGAAAAAACATTTTTGTTTAAATTTTAATTTTTTATTTTTCGAAAACTGATTTTTAAAAAGAAAAGTATTTTGAAAATGACATTTAAAAAAAAATTTTTTTTTTGCATCATTTTGCGTGCACTACCCAAACAGAAAATAATGTGTCAAAAAGAAAAAAATTATGAACCTTCATAAGCATTCCACAAAGTAGAAAATATTAAGAACTAAAGAATGAGTCATACAAATAGCATTCGATGGGCTTCAATAAAAAAAAATGTTTCCGTTTTGATACATAATAAATAATGATACAACTTACCTTGAACTCGTTGGTTGTTATCATTTTCGTCCACTTTTCAAGTTTAAGGCGCATTGTTTTCGTCAGGTAGTTCCAGAAGAATTCCGGGCGGTTATCGACCTACGAGATTTATTGTGGCTACCGTTGAATATTCAGATTGGGCTATCATTACTTACTGGCTCCTTTTTTTTCTTATCTTCTTCGTCAGTCATTCTTAATTCTATTTTTCAGACAGTAGCTCTTAGAAAGAAATTTTTTTATTTTCGTTCCTTTATAAATGGTTTTAGTTGACACACTTATCAATGCTTTCAACAATGAATCAAAGTAAATTTGGTTGTGTATAAATTCGCACGTAGACTAAGCAAGCCGACAAAGAAAAAAAGAAGAAAGGAAGCTAATAGTATACACTCAGCGTCATATCTCTGCGTACAGGGCAAATATTTTTAAACTTGTCACTTTGACAGGTAAAATCTTAGGCTAGATGTGATATAAAAATATTATGATTTTTGTTACGGATAGTCGTAGCAATTACCTTCATATTCCACATTTTAGAACATTTTTATCTTCTTTGGTGCCCCTATAATTCGTATTTCGCCAAAACCCTTTAAAATAACATGCTTTCAAAAGTTTGCGTACAGCTGAATATAATTGCATTTATTGGTAAGTTAGTAGTCCGATTTGAATTGCATTATCAAGATAGGCAAAGATGCAACTGTCAAACGATTTCTCAATGCATTTTTAATTATGGACGGCAAAGGAAAGCAAATTCAAGACTCCGAAAGGAAAATCATCTTAAAATTGCATTTGGAAGGAAAAAGTCATAAGTAATTGTATTTCGACCGGTTCTATACTTCCCAAGCTCCGAGAAGGCCGCCCATGTCGATTAACAAAAAGGGAAAAAACGAAAGTAGTTTTCATGGTCCAAAACAATCCGAAATTGACTTCTAGAGAAGTGCAGCAAGAGGTGAAAAGTCGGTTTTCTAAAACCGTTTCGTACTCGACTATCCAAAGAATTATAAAAAAATCCGGATTCATGAGCTGCGTGGCCAGAAAGAAGCCCTACATTTCCAAAACAAATCGAGAGAAACGAATTCAATTTGCAAAGGACCATATTTCCAAGCCTCCAGAGTTCTGGAAGTCTGTGATTTTTTTCCGATGAAAGCAAGTTTTGCATATTTGGAATAAAAGGAAAAAAATTAATCTGGCGCAAGAGCGGAGAAGCCCTTGAAAAGCAAAATTTACTTCCAAGTGTGAAACATGGAGGAGGTGGAATAATGATATGGGGTTGTATGGCAGCTAACGGCGTTGGAAATCTGCACTTCGTTGATGGTATTATGGACCATAAGATATATATCCAACTGTTAAAGGATAATTTGGTCCAAAGTGCAACCAAACTGGGGCTACAACACAAGTTTATCTTTCAACAAGATAACGATCCCAAGCATACAGCTCAAAATGTCAAGCTCTGGTTGCTGTATAACGTGAAAAATCAACTGAAAACACCGCCACAGTCTCCAGTTCTGAACCCCATCGAGCACCTGTGGGATTTATTGGAACGCAGAATTAGGCAGCACTCAATTACATCCAAAGTAATGCTAAAAACCATATTGCAGCAGGAATGGGACCAAATAGCCGAAGCTGAGACTGAGAAGTTGGTTAATTCTATGCCAAGACGTCTCGCCGAAGTCCTAAAACGGAAAGGTTATCCAACCTCATATTAAAGTGCGATAAAATGGTCAATAAATGCAACTATATTCAGCTGTACGCAAACTTTTGAAAGCATGTTATTTTAAAGGGTTTTGGCGTAATACGAATTATAGGGGTAATGTGGAATATGAAGGTAATTGCTACGACTATCCGTAACAAAAATCATAATATTTTTATATCACATCTAGCCTAAGATTTTACCTGTCAAAGTGACAAGTTTGAAAATATTTGCCCTGTACGCAGAGATATGACGCTGAGTGTATTTACTCTGACCTACGTTACCTATTGATATCGAAATTTAATGCAAAAACGCAAAAGCATGTCTATGTACTAGTCTCCGGTTAGTCATCAAACTTGAATGATTTGTTGCTCATTTGGCTAGATGGAAACCCCCTAACTCCAAAGCCTCATTTACTTCTCAGCGAATCTCTTCCAACTCGTCCAAACTGTTCGCTCCTGTAAGCATATCATCAACGTAGAAGTCCCATTTAATGAGATCGAAGATTCCGATTTACTTTGTGGGCTACTACATATTAGGTCTCAGGACACATTGATGTGGAGGAGGCGTTGGAAGCAGTGATACATGTCTTTTAATTTGCGAAAATTTGCAAGTCTGCACTCCAACACAAGAAATCTGCGTCTTGCCGTTTCAAAAAATTAGCCAGAACTCTTGGATTTGTCAGCTTCACCTCAAATAGTTGGTGGCCTCCAATTTGCTACCTTTTCGTGGAGATAAAAAACAAATGATTTCTCCAAATATGGGGGAAGTCGAAGTGGGAGGTTTCTTAGGATAAGGTAAACAATTTCAGAAGGGGATTGCACAGGGCGTCCCCACAATACGGAAGCACACAGCCAGGTATTCCGTCGGATCTGGCAAAACAATTGGCTTAACACGATGAATGTTTAATAAAAGACAGCTGTCGTTTAAGGTGGGTCTAAAAATATTGGTTCGATTTTGGGGTGGTGTAAGAATAAGTCTGATTTGAGTCTGTAAGTTTGAGTAAGTAAGTACAATCGTGGACATAAGTATTTTGACACAGCTTATAGCTATATTCCAGCGCGTGTCTCTTTGTACTCGTAAAAGTTACGGGACCCATTTTACTTTCCAGTAAGAGATTATATTTAAATCTTTAATAGAGCAAAAAGATGTTACTGATAAGTAAATTAACTTCTTTGCTATGTCCCGTGATGTGAGATCATGCATTTTTGGGTGGACAAAAATATTTTGACATTGCATTCAATCAGTTCTCATTTGTTTCGTGCGCATTAAAGGACGTTGTTTGATATTTATAACTCCAGCTTATAAATCTTTTAGCAGCTTTAATACATTATTTGCCAATTTTCCTAATTTCTGTACCGTTATTTAATGAAAATATGGGTAAAACACGGGAGCTAAGCCAAATCCAGCAAAACAAAATAGTAATTAAGTACCAAGCAGGTATTTCGGTCCAGAACCTCAGCATATTTTATAAAGTACCCCGACAAACAAAATTAACAAACATAAACAGACAAATTCGACGAATAATTTAGTCAGAAAAGGACGACCTTGCAAAACTACGCCTAGACAAGAACGTCTAATCTTTGCAAAATTTAAAGAACATGTCCTTATTAAACCAAACAAAGTTTCAATGGAAGTTAAAAACGATTATGATATTTTAATTTGTAAAAAAACAGTTGAAATATTATTTAAAGAGGCTAATTTTGATACTTTGTGGCCCGTCAGATACCTTTCATTTCACCTAAAAATGAGTTGAAACGATTAGCCGATTAGGCCGCACTTTCTTGCGAATATTTTTTGGTAATCTGCAGTAAATTTCTTTTTTTAACCATGGTACTCAAAAGGACTCTCATCGGTCCACAAAATTTGTTCCCAAAACGATTGAGGCTGTTAACAAATGATTTGGCAAAGGCTAATCGTTTCAACTCATTTTAAGGTGAAATGACGGGCCACATTAGTAGCAAAGTTAGCCTTTTTAAGTTTTCTTTCAACTGTTTTTCTACTAATTTAAAAATTATAATCGTTTTGAACTTCCATTGAAGCTGCTTTTGGTATAATAAGGACATTATCTTTAAATTTTGAAAGGATTAGACGATCTTGTCTAGGCGTGGTCTAGCGTGGTCGCCCTTTTCTGACTAAATTATCCGTCGAAATTGTCAGTTTATGTTTGTCAATTTGGTAGTAAATGGTTTGTCGGGGTACTTTATAAAATATGTTGAGGTTCTGGACCGAAATACCTGCTTGGTACTTAATTACTATTTTGTTTTGCTGGATTTGGCTTAGCTCCCGTGTTTTACCCATATTTTCATTAAATAACGGTACAGAAATTAGGAAAATTGGCAAATAATGTATTAAAGCTGCTAAAAGATTTATAAGCTGGAGTTATAAATATCAAACAACGTCCTTTAATGCGCACGAAACAAATGAGAACTGATTGAATGCAATGTCAAAATATTTTTGTCCACCCAAAAATGCATGATCTCTCACATCACGGGACATAGCAAAGAAGTTAATTTACTTATCAGTAACATCTTTTGCTCTATTAAAGATTTAAATATAATCTCTTACTGGAAAGTGAAATGGATCCCGTAACTTTTACGAGTACAAAGAGACACGCGCTGTAATATAGCCATAATCTGTGTCAAAATACTTATGTCCACGATTGTAAGTATTGCGGGAGAGCGTGGGATTGAGCACTAATCAGAACCGTTTATAGCTGTCGATACGGCACAAACAACAATAAATGGAGAAAGGACAAAAGGATATGCAAAAGAATAAAATGCAAAGCAACCGCAGCAGCTCAAACTAAAATGTTATTTACTGTTCACACGTGAACACACCTCCTCAAACGTGCTAGATCTTACTCTGGTAAGGGGACAAGGTACTTTGGTATCAGAATGGAGAGTCCTTGAGAGACCATCCTTCTCAGATCATAAGTACATACAATTCCAATACGCATTCGAACACTCTCCAAAACAATCAGTCTTCAGGAACCCCCGGAATACTAACTGGGGAAAGTTCAAGGAGACTATCGTGACACGGCTCGCGATCTCTCCGGGCATAGTAGAATCCGCGAAAGACATAGAAAGTCCCTAAAGACCCTCTCCAAAGAACTGCTGGATGCGTACCACGCATCATGCCCTATATCGGACACGAGAAAGAGGACCAGGCCACCTTGGTGGAATAAGGACCTTTCACTCCGACGCAACAAACTTAAAGAATTCTTCAAAATCGCCAAGCAGGCGAAAGATGACATCATCAATAAGGAATACAAAGTCCTACTTAGGGACTACATGAAGGAAATACGCAAGGCGCAGAGAAACTCATGGAGAAACTTCTGCTCCAATATAGAGACTGACCCGGAAACAGCTAGACTCCAGAAGCTGCTATCGAAGCAGCCAACCATACAGAGTCAGCTCAAACGCGACGACAGACAGTGGACTGAGGGCAGCGAAGAGGCCCTAACAGCACTAATGCACGCGCATTTCCCAGGATGCACTGAGGTACCCGATGCAAATAAGCACCAGGACCTAGCAACTGAAGTAGAGCATCTCCCAGAAGATTTAATATCCTCTGGTAGAA